GGCTGGAGTGCAGAGACACTCTCACGGCCACCACAGCCTCAATCTGCTGGGCTCAGGGGGTTGTTCTGCCTTAGCCTTCCAAGTAGCTGGGACTACAGGTGCGCGCTACCATACCCTACTATTTTTAAAATGTTTATTTTGATTATTTATGTATTTATTTATTTCTGATCCAAACACAGTCGACACATGGCATTTGGTTTCTATGTCTCTCAAATCTCTTGAGTTTTGTAATAGTACAGGAAGAAGAACTTTCGAAGATTTTCCTGAGGACAGAAAACTGAAAGTCCCAGAGAAAAGGATGAAAAGACTGAGTATATCCATGTTGAGACTTAACTCAGAAAAGCGAGACCAGGCCAAACAAGGGAAGGGACCCTTCTAGCTCCTTCCATGAGCTTGTTCACTGTAGGAGACAACCGGTAGGTCCACAGCCTTTCTGCAGCCCCACCACCCATTTATGGGTGGCAGAGACTTGGCACCATCTTGACTCATGGGCTCCTTTCCTGGGAAAACAGGTGGGTGATGCCAGTCGAGCTTAGGCTCCAGCCAGCACAGGTTTGAGGTGGAGGGGTCACCACTGAGGGAGAGGAAGGGCCAGTGTGACAGTCCAGGGCAGGAAGGGAAGTAGGTATGAGGGTGTCCTGCCCCTGGCTTCCATTGGAGTATGGGACAAGAGAGATAGCACAGATAGAGGTTGGAGAAGTTGTAGTCTGCTTGCAGTTTCCACAGGAGGCCTAATATTTAGAGAGAATCGCCAGGGACATCTCTTTTGTAAAGCCAGGCCTCCTTTGTCCTGCCTTAGTGATGGCTACTGCTTCCTCTTCCTGCTGTGTATCCTGACTAGCACACCCCGGAGACTTTTTTCAAAGGCATTTGCATCTGCATAAACAAAACATGAGCAGCCACAGCTTACTGTCTTCTTGCCTCCCTTTCTGACATTTTTCCAAGACACCAAACATACTCTTAGGAGCCTGGTCAGAATTGCCCAAGGCTCCCTGGTATTAGCAATGGGCCACAAGGCCAGGAGGCAGGCACTGTCTGCAGAGAGGGATGGGTGGGGGAAGGCAAAACATAGTTCCATGTCCCCCTCACATCCCCGATTTAATCAAAGATGTTTTTGTGCAACATTCCTTCTGAGAACAGATTTCACTGCAGAATTTGCATCTCTCTGACTTTCAAGGCTGAGATGACAGCATTCGCATTTGGTGGGCCTCTTAGCAACCGGAGAGGACCATTGATTAGGAAAGGCCAGCCTGGAAGATTTATAGCCTTGTGGCCTCCTCCTCAGGGTTCATGCTGTTGTATGTCGCATATAAACAGGGACTTAGAAGGAATTTACATCATCTTCCATTGATAGCCTCTGGCAATGGCCTCACCTAACATTTGGAGGGGGAAGTCTTTGCTCAGTTGCAGGCACTGCTGGGTCAGGAGGAGGCTGGGATTCTCATTATTGAGATTCCGCTTGCCTGCATGTTGACCTTCTAGCCATGGATTCAGCCATTTCTTTCCTGGACGAGGATACCAGTCAGCAAGTGGACAAGAAGAGTTCCCTTCTCCCTCGCAGAGTCTACTGATTCTACCTCATCAAATTCTCCAAGTGCCCCTTTAAGGGTTAGGCCCAAAGGTCATTCCGGCCTGAGGGAGTTGCAAACGTTAGTGAAGTTAGAGGTAGACATGCTTTCTGGGTTGGGGAGGGCACTGATCACCTTAGGAAGGAGATACTAGGTACTGAGAGGGGCAAGGGAGAGGGGACTAACAAAAATCATCCACGAGGAGGTTCACATTCTCCTATTCAACCAACCACAGATGGAAATTATTCAAAAATAAATAACAAAAAACAGCACAACAATAAAGAGCATACAAATAAAACAACATAGTATGACAACTATTGGCATAACATTTACATTGTGTTAGGTATTATAAGTAATCTAGAGATGATTTAAAGTGTTCTGGAAAAAACTCAAAACAAATGAATAAAGTGTTTGGGAGGGTGTGCGTAGGTTATGTGCAAACACTACACTATTGTATGTACGGGACTTGAGCATCCGTGAATTTTGGTATCTGTGAATTTTGGCCCCTGTCATATTCCTGGAGCAATCAATCCCCCATGGATACTGAGGAGTCAATACAAATAAATACAGGCTACAATGTCAGGTAGTGACCCATGCAGTGAGGGAGTAGGGCACGGGCATCGGGAGTCACGGAGGGTGGTTGAGGTGTTACTTGATGCAGGGTGGTCAAAGAAGGCCTCCCTGAGGAGGTGACATTTGAGCAAAGACCTGAACAAAAGAGGGAACATCTGAGGGAGCAAGGGCAAGGACCTTGAGACCTCGAGTTCAGAGAGCAGCGAGTGGACACGTGTGGGTGGAAGCCAGATGGACAGGAAGGCGAGAGGTGGGGCATCGGTCTGGAGGAGGCACGGGGTGTGTGAAGAGCGCTGGGAAGGCTTGGAGAAGAGGAGAAGTCAGGTCCCACCCAGTGGGAGAAGTCACACCCAGTGGCACGGGGTGTGTGGAGAGCGCTGGGAAGGCTTGGAAAAGAGGAGAAGTCAGGTCCCACCCAGTGGGAGAAGTCACACCCAGTGGAACGGGGTGTGTGGAGAGCGCTGGGGAGGCTTGGAGAAGAGGAGAAGTCAGGTCCCACCCAGTGGGAGAAGTCACACCCAGTGGCACGGGGTGTGTGGAGAGCGCTGGGGAGGCTTGGAGAAGAGGAGAAGTCAGGTCCCCAGCGATCGGTGGCCACCTGCCTACTTTGCTTCCCTTCCAGGTGGAACTAGACCCAGGACTGGGCTAGTAGCTGTGGGGGTGGGGGGTGGGGACAGGCAGTTAAGGACAGGGTCCCAGGCGTTGGGCATGGCCTGATGATCCCTGGGTAGGCTCGTCCTTGTCTCTTCCTTCTCCCTGCATCTCTCCTTTCCCTCCTCTCTGTCCTTCTGCACTCTTTGGCCCAAATCCCTGTTGTTTTGGTTTGGGAGGGTGACTAGCCCAACAGCCTCATCTCCCATTCACTTCCAGGTTGTGTGCACTCCACTCCTTTGCTCCCTGACCGCCTGTGCATCTCCGTGACTCCCAGTGGGGGTGAGCAGGTCTCAGCTTCTGGGGTCTTGTTCCAATTTGTCTCTTCAACAGCTGAGGGAAACGATTTAAGATTTAACCATAGGACAACTGAGCATCCTTTGTTGCTTCTGGCTGGGGAGGAGAACAGGGCTAGAGGCATTGACACAGACATGAAGAAAGTCTGTGCCCTTGAGCTGTTTTCCAGGAGTGAAATGATGTTTTCCAAGAGCACACGTGTCGGGGAGGGAGATGTTCTCTGGAAGTTGTTTTGGAGGCGGTCACACTTGAATTAGGCCTTGAGACACTTGGAGGCCTTCCGGGGAGATGGGTTGGGATGGCCATGGAAGGGCTGCCAGAGATGCCAGCTCCAGAACTGCATGGCCAGCAGTGTGTACTGCCTTCTTCTGGCTCCTGCTGCCAAGATGAGGAAGAAACGGGAGTGGAGATGTGCTCCCAATGAGATTAGGAGGCAAGACCAGCACTCAGGACTCACGAGGACCCACTCAGCCTTCACTCAGGGGCCCAGTGAGGCACTGCGGCAAGAAAACCACAGAACCGAGAGGAAAATGGAGCTGCCGGGGCTTTGTGGGTCATGCTGAGCAGTTCATCTTCCCAAGGTCGCGGGAGACTTTGAGAATCAATAGAAACTATTGACTATAGAAACTATTGACTTTCCTCAGAAAAAATGTTTGAACAAACACAGTAATTTTTTATTGAAATAATAATTTACATACCATAAAATTTACCACTTTAAAATGTACAATTCCTGTGTATTCACAAATTGTGCAACCATCATCACTTTCTAACTATCTAACTCCAGAAAATTTTCATTACCTCAGAAGAAACCGCATACCCTTTCATGGTCATTTCCGATTCTCCCCTTTTTCTGGTTCCTGGCAACAACTAACCTACTTTGTTTCCATGGATTTGCCTCTTCTGGACATTTTATATAAAGGGAACCATACAAGATATGGGTCTTTGCATCTGGCTTCTTTCATGTTATAAAATGTGCCAGGGCCCCAGTTGTTTTTATAAATAATATTCCTGAACAATACTTCATTGTAGGGAGATAGCACACTTTGTTCATCCATTTATCAGTTGCACATTTGGGTTGTTCCCACTTTTTGGTTATTATGAATAATGCTGCTATGAACATTCACTTACAAATTTACACACTAAAATTTGCAAACCATTTCAGGAAATTCCCCAAGTCCCTGAAACCTAGCTCTTGGTTTAGGGCAGCCTTGTTTTGCAAAAGGGGGAAATTCAAAAGGGAATGGAGAAGGCAGGAAGGCAGACAATAATTCGTTGCTATTTATTGAGTCGTACTGGATTAAGCACTTTATTTACCCCCAGTCACTTCATTCTTAACAACCCCGTGACATGATATTATTATCCTCAGATTACATATGAGAAAACTGAGCTCAGAGAAGCCATGCTAGGTTTCTTGGAGAAGTCAAGATTTAAGCTGAGCTTTGACTGCCAGACTGTGAAAGGCAGTGATACATCCTGTCTCCTGATCTTTCTCAAAGCCTCTGTTTCCTTCCATTTATTTTTTGAATGGGATATTAATGCCCTGCCTGCCAACAAGACATCCATTTTGCGAAGCCCAGTGCACAGGGGGCATCCCTGACTGCTGGAAAATGACCCTCTCCCCAAAGCAATGTGTGCTTGAGGCTCCTGCCTCCTGCTTTCCCCTCGGCAGCCTCCGAGCTTCCAACCTGGCCTGCATGTATGTCCAGCTGTGGTCACCATAGCTCAGGGCATCTCCTGAACAGCTGGTACCTCCACCACTGTCGCCCTCACTGTGAGGCTCCACTGCAGGCCCCGCCCAGCGGCGAGGAGCCAGGGTCAGGCCAAGACCCGCGGGCACGTGATGGGGATCTGCGGGAGAGGGTGGCCGCTGTGTGAAGCCCAGTGACAGCTGCCACACTGTTTGTCTCTCAGCCGTCGAACAGCCAGCAAGCCATGGTGCGCAGGGAGTCCGTGGTCAATCTGGAGAACTTCAAGAAGCAGTATGTCCGCAGACGGTGGAAGGTATGTCCGGTGTGGGGCGGGGGGACAGGGACCCTGGGTGGGGTCCCGGCTCTCTCTGGGATCCCCTGCCCATCCTCACCGTCGTTCCTTTTCTCTGGCCCCCTCAGCTGTCCTTCAGCATCGTGTCCTTGTGCAACCATCTCACCCGCTCGCTGATGAGGAAGGTGCATCTGAGGCCAGACCAGGACCTGGTAGGTAAACGCAATGTCCTCTTTTGGGGCAGAATTCTGGGGTGGCGTGGGGCTCCAGGGTCAGGGAGCCTCCCTTTGCCCCAGGCAGGTGGGCAGTCACCATTTCCAGCCAGTTGTGCTGGTCCTGTCCTCCTCAACCCTGCAGGCTGAAGTGTGATCTTCAGAGGCATGTTCTGAGGACCTCAGGATGGGGCTGGGAGGGGAGCCCGATGCGGCAGCACAAGCCCCTAGAGGGCAGATGAACTCTCCTGCCGCCCACCCCTCCAGACTCTCCCTGAGGACTGGCAGCCCCTGGGGACCATGGGGACCATGGGGACCCTGGAGAAGGAGACCACAGACAACCCCGAATTTGTTTCTGACAATCCAGAAATCTGCTTTAGAATGGGAGCATGCCAGGTACAGTGGCTCACGCCTGTCATCCAACCTTTGGGAGGCGAAGGTGAGAGGATTGCCTGAGCTCAGGGGTTCGAGGCCAGTCTGGGCAACTTGGCGAGACCTCATCTCTACAATAAATCAAAAAATAAGCTGGGCATGGTGGTGCATACCTGTAGTTCCAGCTACTTTTTTTTTCTCTTCTTTTTTTTTTTTAGTTGGTGTCTCAGTCTGTCGCCCAGACTGGAGTGCAGTGGCTGCTTCTGGCCACCGCAGCCTCGACCTCCTGGGCTCCGGCGATCCTTCCCCCTCAGCCTTCCAAGTAGCTGGAACTACAGGCATGCACCACCATGCCTGGCTAATTTTTGATTTATTGTAGACATGAGGTCTTGCCAAGTTGCCCAGGCGAGTCTGGAACCTGTGGGCTCAGGCAGTCCACTCACCTCAGCCTCCCAAAGCGTGGGATTACAGGCTGAGCCACCGAGCCCGGCTAGTTCCAGCTACTTGAAAGGCTGAGGCAGAAGGATCACATGAGTCCAGGAGGTTGAGGCTGCAGTGGTGTGATTGTGCCACTGCACTCCAGCCTGGGCGAGACAGTGAGACTCCAACTCAAAAAAAAAAAAGAATGGAAACTTTACATTGTTTTTTCAATGTTTCCACTTCTGTTTTGCTTTATAATATTTTACCATTATTACCATTATAAGTAGTAATTTTTAGATGATATCATATACTTGATTGAATTTTTTGCAGTTTTATGGACACCTAAAATGAAAGGCTAATAACAGAATATACTGGTAGAGAGTGTGGCCTCTGGAAGCAGACTGCCAGGATTCAAACCTGCCACTTTCTAGCTGTGTGACCTCAAGGAAATTACTTAACCTCTCTAAGCTAAAATGTCATCATTTGTAAAATAGGGTTAGTAGTAGTTCTTGAGGATTAAATGATAATGTACTCTTAAAGCCTAGCATGCAAGTGCTCAATAAGTGTTAGCAGCTGTTATTGCTTGAAATCTTCCTTTAGGCCAGGTATGGTGGCTCACGCCTGTAATCGTAGCACTTTGGGAGACTGAGGCAAGAGGATTGCTTGAGCCCAGGAGTTCAAGATTAGCTTAAGAAACAGCAAGACCTCATCTCTACCAAAAAAAAAAAAAAAAAATTGTCCAGGCATGGCAGTGCACACCTGTAGTCCCAGCTATCTAGGAGGCTGATCACCTGAGCCCAGGAGGTTAAGGATGTGATGAGCCATGATCCTGTCACTGCACTCTAGCCTGGTGACAGAGTGAGACCTCGACTAAAAAAAAAAAAAAAAACAAAAACCCTAAAATCTTCCTGTAGACTTTAAAATGCAATGCCGGTGTTAGTATTTCAGTTGGTAGGGGGTTCCCTGGAAAGCTCCTCCCCTGCTACCGAGTGTGGTAAAGGGGGCAAAGAAGTGACTTGAATGGCACAGGTCAGAAAATGAGGTGACTCCCTGCTCATGAGATGGCTAGAAGGAGGCTGCCTGAGATGATGGTCAGTCCTGAGAGGCCTCAGGGTGCACAACAGAAACCCACACAGGCCTGCTCCTCCCACCCAGCATAGCCTGGGGTCATCTTTCTTCAGCTGGGGCTCTTGTTTATTCCTGCTCTTGCCAGGACTTGAGGATTTATGGCTCCAGAGGCCCCACACAACAATGCGACTTTGGCCAAGTCCTGTGCCTTCTCTGGCCACTCTCCTCATCTGCTATAATGGGGCCTGGACCTCTCTTCCTCTGAGAATCCCTGATAATGACAGGAGGACTTGACCCAGCTTATTTTTTTACTGTTTGACTCTGACTCATGCTGAAAAGTTCCAATTCAGCAGAACTGGAGTTATGTTTATTGTTATAGCCAGACTTGGCCTAGGATGTATTTGGTTAAAATTGATCTTGACCTTGGGTTTCCAGCTGGCTCAAGCCAGGGGAAAGAGAGGAGGCCCTGGGAGGACGAATGGCAGAGAGTGGGCATGCCTTTCAGGCTGAGCCCTGGCCTCCTTGAATGCAGGCCATGGGGAGGAGGGACCAGGGAGTCATCGAAAAGAATGTGAGCCAGGCTCCGCGGCTCAGCCTGTAATCCTGCACTTTGGGAGGCTGAGGTGAGTGGACGCCTGAGCCTGCGGGCTTGAGACCCGCCTGGGCAACTTGGCAAGACCTCATCTCTACAGTAAATCAAAAAATAAGCCAGGCGTGGTAGCACGCACCTGTAGTTCCAGCTACTTGGAAGGCTGAGGCAGAAGGATTGCCAGAGCCCAGCGGGTCGAGGCTGTGGTGGCCGGGAGCGGCCACTGCACTCCAGTCTGGGCGAAAGAGTGAATCTCCAACTCAAAAAAAAAAAAAAAGAAAAGAATGTGAATTTCTTTCCTAACTTTGATCCTTGTGCAAACATTTTTAAATAGTCCTCTTTTTACTCAAGCACTTGGCAAGCACCATCAGCTCAATGATTCAGCCTAGAAGTAAAAAAGGACTGGGCCCCAGACATCTGTTATATAGTTTTACTAAAGAGACTTTCCTTTAAAAAAAAGAAAAAAGAAGGCCGGGCTCGGTGGCTCAACCTGTAATCCCGCGCCTTGGGAGGCCGAGGTGAGTGAATTGCCTGAGCCCGTGGGTTCGCGACCCACCTGGGAAGTGAGACCTCATCTCTACCATAAATAAAAAAATCAGCCGGGCGTGGCAGCGCGCGCCTGTAATTCCGGCTACTCGGAAGGCTGAGGCGGAAGGATCGCGGAGCCCAGCAGGTCGAGGCTGTGGTGGCCAGGAGCGGCCGCTGCACTCCAGTCTGGGCGACCGAGTGAGCCTCCAACTCAAAAAAGAAAAAAGAAAAAAGAAAAAAATTGCTGGGCATGGTGGCTTATGTCTGTAATTTCAGCAATTTGGAAGGCTGAGGCAAGAGGGTTGCTTGAGCCCATGAGTTCAGGATCAGCCTGGGCAACCTAGTAAGACCTCGTCTCTACAAAAAATTTTTTTAAATTAGCCGGGCATGGTGGCACGCACCTGTAGTCCCAACTACTTGGGAGGCTGAGAGGGAAGGATCACTTGGAGGTCAAGGCTGCGGTGAGCTATGATTATGCCACTGCACTGTAGTCTGGATAACAGAGTGAGATTCTGACTCCAAAAAAAAAAAGAGCAATGATATGTCCTTTTGTTTAGGAAGCTTTAGAATTGAACCTCTGACAATTTTAAATCTTTCCAAATGAATACTTCTTTAAAGAATTTAAATAACTAAGTTAGATTGTTATGATGTGAGTGAAAAGATAGTATGACCTCCAGATGGCTGTCTCAGCTCTGGTTTAGCCATGTGGGAGCTGACAGACAGTACTTTTATACTCTTTTCGTCTTTCATAAAGATGGAGTCGTTTTTCTGGAAAAAACTGCAGGGCCAGTCTTGCTAAAGGTGCTGCATAACTGCATCAGAGCAGGAGGGGTGTGGTGTGTTGGCTTTCTGAGCTTAGGGAGGAGCCTGCAACTCACTCTCCCCCCATTTTCTCTAGGCTGAGCTTGGGAGACCTGTCAGTCACAGACCACCTATCCAAGTGAGCTTGATTAGGCCTCAGCCACAGAGCACCAGCTGTAACTTTCATTTTCACGGGTTGGCCTCTCCTGATGCTGGGTTTCCCTTAGATGCTTTCTCTTCTCCCGGGAGGAAGGCCTCAAGGTCTGGCCTCATTTCAGGCCCCCCTACCCCTGCAACATTGGTCTCTGGATGGAGCAGCAGGCTTCGCTTCAAAACTCGCCCTCTGGCTCACCAGCCCCTGGCCTAGGTGAATCAGCCCGGATTGCCAGCACGACCCTTCCGGTATCTCATGACCCTCTTGCCTTAGGCCTCTTTTTCTACCCCCAGAGGAACTGTGAGAGTGACACCGAGGACGACGTCGCCAAGAGGAAAGCCCTCCACCCCCGGAGGAGGAGCAGCACTTCTTAACTGGCCACTGGCTGTGGCCACTAAGGAGGTCCAGCCCAGCAGAGCTTCCTTCCACACAGACTCTGGGACCTGGCTTGTCACCAGCACCTGGGGGTTCTGCGTCCCTGAGCACTTTGCAAGAGAGGTGGACTGCAGGCTTCCAGAGACTACAGGCGAGCCAGGAGGCCCTGGGATCTGTGGCTGCCTCCCATGGAGGTGGCACCGCCATTCCCCAAGCTCTTTATTCTCCGTAAAACGGGCTTTCATCTGTCTGCCGACCTCAGAACCTGGGGTGGGGGGTGTGGACCCAGGAAAACAATGTAAAGGAACCCATCATCATCACGGGGTGAAAGTCATCCTCAGGAAGCTTTCCTCACAAGGTGAGGGAGCTCAGAATCAGCCTGGTCAAAAATGACACCAGGAAGACTGAGCCCTCCTTCATGGGAATAGGGTGAGGGAGGAAAATGAACCTTGGGTGTGAGGGGACCAGTCCTGAGTCCTCCCAGAACCCACAGGAGTCAGGACATCAGGCTGACCAACATGTCAGACCTTCTGAAGCAGCCCATTGGCAGCCCACAAGGTCGTAATGTTTTTCGTTTTTATTAAACTTCTGGCTTACCTAATGCTTGGCTTCTTTTAGGGTTATCCCCACCTGATTTCCTTTTGCCCAGGTGCCTATGACTCTGGGGAACACCCAGCTTGGGATGCCAGGTGGACAGAAGCCCCAAAGGTCCTAATGAACCATCCCCTCTGGCCTGCAGGGGGCCTGCCTTCTAGATGCTTCCCTAAAGGGAAGGTGTCCAGCCAAGAAAATTCACCCAGAGACCGACATATAATACCTGGCTCCCTCTACTCCCACTGCCATCGTTGCTGCTGTTAGGGGCTGAGTTTTATCTCCCCAAAACTCATATGTTGAAGTTCTAACCCTCAGTGCCACTGAATGTCACTGTATTTGTAGATAGGGCCTTTACCGAGGAAATTAAGGCCAGGTGTGGTGGCTTATACCTGTAATCTCAGCACGTCAGGAGCCGGAGGCAAGGGGATCTCTTAAGTCCAGGAGTTTGAAATCAATCTGGACAATATAGTGAGACTTTGTCTCTACCAAAATTTTAAAAAATAATTGGGTGGGTGCCGTGGCTCACTCCTGTAATCCCAGCACTTTGGGACACGGAGGCAAGAGGATTGCCTGAGTCCAGGGGTTCGAGACCAGTCTGGGCAACTTGGCAAGACCTCATCTCTACAAGCCAGACTTGGTGGCATGCACCTATGGTCCCAGCTACTTGGAAGGCTGAGGTGGAAGGATTGCCTGAGCCTAGCAAGTCAAGGCTGTGGTGGTCGTGAGTGTGTCACTGCACTCCAGCCTGGGTGACAGAGTGAGACTCCAACTCAAAAAAATAAAATAAAATAAAAAATTAGCCAGGCATAGTGGTACATACCTGTAGTCCCAGGTACTCAGGAGGCTGAGGTGGGAGGATTGCTGGAGCCCAGGAGTTTGAGGCTGCAGTGAGCTACGATGGCACTGCTACACTCCAGCCTGAGCAACAAAGCAAGACCTTGTCTCTAAAATAAAAGAATAAAGAGGCACTCAAAATGAGCTCAGGGTGGACCCTAATGCAATATGACCAGTGTCCTTATAAGAAGGGGAGATTAGGACACAGAAAAGACCATGTGAAGACACAGGGCCACCTGCAAGCTAAGAAGAGAGGCCTCTGAAGAAACCAGCCCTGCTGACACCTCCGAAATAGTAAGATACATTTCTGATATGTAAGCCACCTAGTCGGTGGTACTTGGTGATGGCAGTCCTGGCAAATGACACACCTGCCAACTACAGCCACCGTGGGAGCAGGGGAATTCTTAACGAGGCAGACAGAGAAGAGCAAAGAAGGACCTTCGGGGAGAAAGGAGAGGAAAAAGAGGAGGTGGGCCACCTGGACCCAGGGTCACGATGGCAAGGGAACCTCAACAACATAGAAATCTGGGCTCCACTTTGCAGGCCAAAAGAGTGGTGTTCCCGACCAGAGCTCAAGAGAAGACCGGTGGGCATCAGAAATGAGTTAGGGTGAGGCTAGGAGGCTGGGAATGTGCATGGGAAGAGGCGGAAGGAAGGGAGAGGAGGTCTGAAAGGTCTGTGGTTCCTGAGCCAAGGAAGGGAGCCAGGAAGGAGGGGAAAATAAGGGTAGAATGGACAGGCGCAGTGGGGGTAGGGGGGAAGGGAGACGCCCATTCCCTTTGTCAGCCACGAGTGGATGGATCCAGAGCCAAAGGGCCCCTCAGGAACAGATCGGCAATCCTGCTTCAGAAAGCGTCCAGCCAGAAACAGCACAAGGCTGCAAGCTTGTTGCAGAAAGCTTTGAGGTTGACCTGTACTTTTGGGCCTCCCCAGCTTTCTGTGCCTGTGAGGGGCTCTTTGCTGTGGCTGGTCACGTCCACCAGCAGGGAATGTTCCGGAGGGGGGCTCACTGGGAGCTCCTAGGAAGTCAAGTGTGGTGGGGAGAGGGGCTACCCTCCCACTAGGAAAGAGAGCGGTGAAGGTCTTTGACAAACCCTGTCTTGAGTTTCCGATCATGGTCATGGGGCTAGCCTTTATAGCTCATCTAGCCCAACCGCTTGCGTTTCACTGGAGAGGAAATGGAAGGCCAGAGAGAAGAAGTGACTAATTCTGCTTCACATAGCAAGTTTGTGAAAATATCTGATGAAAACCCAGACTTCCTGACTCCTAGGACAGTGCTCATTTCTTCAGCGTGATAAAATGTGGCGGACCTTTCAGAAAATGTTAGACCATTACGTTGGTCTCATTTTCAACAAACTCTCATCTCTCCTTTGCTGTTGCCAGCCTTGTCTTCCATTCTCAGAAATGGAAGAAATTGTCACACTTGCTTCTGCCCATCTTTGTACAGCAAGGGACACTGGCCCTGGGTGGGGCATCTCAGCTGCCAATTCCCACAGGCTGCAAGACAGCCAGGGAACCGGTATTTACTGCGCTTCCATTGTGAGCTTGGGTAGTTCTAGATGGAACAGGTTGGAACAGAGAACAGGATAGACGTGGTCCCTGCCCTAAAGAGGTCCACATTCTGTGAGCCCCGGGAGTCCAGGACTCCATCATGCCCACACACTGCTCTTCCTGGCCTCCTTCTCACCAGATTATATCAAGCCCTGCTGACTAAGTCTTTTTAGCCCAGCTTTCTGGTGGCGGATGGCACCTGCTGGCTTTCCCAGAAGCCCTTGGGAGGCACAGGGTCAGGTGGTGGGCAGAGGGGGCCCTTTGAAGATGAACAACCTTCGGAGGGTGTCTTCGAGGCCCAGCAACCAGAAGCCAGGTGCTCATGCCACTCCCAGACAGGGCCCGAGTCCCTGTGGCCTCTGTGCCATCAGCTGCCCTTCAGGTGTGAGAATGAGGGCAGCAGCTGGCTCAAGGGGACCAGTGTATTCTGCTGGCTCTGAAGAAGGGGTGTCGACCAACTGACACTTCAAGGCTAAGAAAGACCACAGCGTGCTCGGAGGCAGATGGAACATTTCCAGGGATGAAAGGCATGCTCAGTTAAAATGCAATTCTTTAAAGAGGTCCGAGGGTGCCCTGCCCCAGAGTGCTTGCCTGTGTGTTTGCAGGATGCTGCATTAATATTTCACAAATACCCATATAAATATTTTAGTGCACTGCATTTTAATGTCAATCTCGCTGGCTTTCCTGACTCCAGACCTTGGATTGTATTTGCCTTTTCCACTCGCATGTTTATTTGCTGAAAACCTTATTTTGGAAGCAAATGAGGGCCGCACCTAAAAATCTCTATGAAAGAAAAATCAGGCGCTGTATTCCACAGATAAAGTCCTGTGTGTGATGGGAGCTAACCCAAGGACTGGCATATCACAAGGAATTGTATCTGGCAGGGGACTGTAGAGCTTTCCATCTGGTCCCCAGCTGGGGGTCATCTTGACATTGTTCAGTTCACTGCTGCTGCACCCCAAAGAATAACATCTTCCTTGGTGGTCTGCTGAGAGGATCCCTTTCTAAGCAAATCTTAAGAGGCTTAGGGATTGAGCAGTCCAAGATCTGGGAACCATGGTTAATTGACATTTCAAAAAAAGGAAACAGCTGGTGAGCGCCCATTAATAGTTTCTCTCTTGCTGTTTTCTCTCCCCCTCCACCTCTGCCCACTAGCAATCCAGAATATATAGCTGGAGTATGTATCTGAGTCATTTCTTATTGAATAAAACGTGTGTTCCCAGTTCTTAATCTAAGAAACAGTTGATTATATGATCTAGGGAGAAATGATTTTTTTTTTTCGAGTTGGAGTCTCACTCTGGCGCCCAGGCTGGAGGGCAGTGGCACGCTCCCGGCCACTGCAGCCTCGACCTGCTGGGATCTGGCGACCCTTCCGCCTCAGCCTTCCTAGTAGCTGGAACTATAGCCGCGTGCTGCAATGCCTGGCTTATTTTTTGATTTATTCTAGAGACGAGGTCTCACCAAGTTGCCCAGGCTGGTCTCAAACCCCTGAGCTCAGGCAATCCTCTCACCTCTGCCTCCCAAAGTGCTGGGATGACAGTCTGAGCCACTGCGCCCAGCCTGAGAAATGATGTTTTAAGGCTGTCCCTCCGACCCCTTCCATCCCCCCACACCGATGGACCAGCTCTCCTCCACCCCTGAGCTAGAGGAAAAGTGAAAGGAAAAAAGCTCACGATGCTTTGTAAAAACCTGCAGTGCAAAAGGAACATTCTGTGTACATTTCATTTCATCCTCTTCCTAACACCATGGGGAAATGAGAGCCCCATGAGGGATGAGGCTGAGACTCGGAGGAGTTAAGGACTGTGCCTGCAGTCACACAGCTGGAGCAATGGGACTCTGGAGCCAAGCCCAGCCCAGTTTTGCCGATCCCCAAATTTACATTTTTCTCTCCCCTTCCTGGAAAAGCACAGCGCTGAATGAAAAAATAACCCCAGAGAACCACATACAGTATGATACTCTTTTTTGAAAGTTCAAAAACCATACCAGAAGTTGCTTAGGGCTGAAGTGCCAATGTGATGAAATGGTGTTTGGAAAGCAGGGGAATGACTACACCGAAAAGTCAAGATGAAGCTTCCTTCTGGTCAGCTGAGCTGGGGAGGGGCATACAGGTGGGCGCCACTCCGTGGGCTGTGTTCTAGCCGACACTAAATTCACGGTGGGCTCGTGCAAGTTCAGGTTATTATAATGCTTTCTGACTTACATATTAGTTACCTACACTTTTTGCATGTATCAAATGTTACATTAAAATAATAAAGGGAGAAAGTGAGGTTAAAAAAAAGTCAACCCTAATGGTTGTCAGTTGGTCAGTTGCCACAGTGGCCTCTGGGGGGTCCAAGACATGGCAGCCACATAGGGACCATCCCTGAATGTGCTTATTTTCTTAGGACTCAGTGGTGTCTTTGTATCTGTCTGTTGTCATCCCAGTCAGAGGTCGTCATGCCACACTGAAAATACCTGGGCTGGGATCTTATTCCCGTTTTCCAGAGAAGGGATAGAAACTATCCTCTGACATGCTCTACCTTTGGAGTTTTCCTAAGGACGTGGGTCTGAGGATGACTTTCAAGGCTAACTAGGCTGAGTTTGCCAACTTGTGCTCTCTTTGGATGCAAACCCAGAGGCTAG